ACCACAACTCAAAAGCATCAACTCTTCTTTGGTCTTCCTTATTCATTGTCAAGCTCTTATATGCATATGCGGTGATTAAAAATACCATAGCTTAGGTTTGGCGCACCTTGGTCTTCAAAGAGACATCTTTGCTCTTCAGCATTTTAAAAAGTCTTTTGCATCAGATTTGCCCAGTACAATGTGTTGTCCAATGTCTTGACTGCTGCTTCCATTGGTGTTGATTGTGGATCCAAGTATTATGAAATCTTTGACAACTTCAATCTTTTCTCCATTTATCATGATGCTGCTTATTGGTCCAGTTGTGAGGAATTTTGTTTTCTTTATGTTGAGAAGTAATCCATACTGCAGGCTATAGTCTTTAGTCTTCATCAATAAGTGCTTCAAGTCATCCTCACTTTCAACAAGCAAAGTTGTGTCATCTGCATATCACAGGTGGCTAATGAGTCTTCCTCTAATTCTGATGCCATATTCTTCTTCATATGGTCCAGTTTCTCACATTATCTGCTCAGCATACAGACTGAATAAGTATGGTGAAATGATACTACCCTGACACACTCCCTTCCTGATTTCAAACCATGCAGTATCCCCTTGTTCTGTTCGAATGACAGTCTCTGGTCCATGCACAGGTTCCTCATGGACACAATTAACTGTTCTGGAATTCCCATTCTTCTCAATGTTATTCACAATTTGTTATGATCCACACAATTGAATGCTTTTGTATAGTCAATAAAACACAAGTAAACAGCTTTCTGGCATTCTTTGTTTTCAGTCACAAGATCCATCTGACATCAGCAATGATATCCCTCTTTCCACATCCTCTTCTGAATCCAGCTTACATTTATGGAAGTTCTCTGTCAATATACTGCTGCAACTGTTTTTGATTATCTTCAGTAAGATTTTACTTGTGTTTGATATTAATGATATTGTTTGATAATTTCCACATTCTGTGGAATTGCCTTTCTTTGGAATGGGTACAAATATGGTTACTTGTCTGTCAATGTGTCATACTGTGGTGACTTCTGTGTTGCTGTGAAGCTGGAGGCTATGCCACTGGTATATCAAATACTAGCAGGGTCATCCATGGGGGGGTGGGGCAGGTTTCAGTGGAGTTTCCAGACTAAGACAGACTCAGAGGAGGGAAAGGACCATCTACTTCTCAAAGAATTGGTCAGTGAAAACCTTCTGAATAGCAGTGAAGCATTGTCTGATGTATTACTGCACAACCTTATGAATAGCCCTGAAACATTGTCCAATGTAGTGCTGGAAGATGAGCCCCTCAAGTTGAAAGGCACTCAAAATGTGACTAGGGAAGAGCTGCCTTCTGACAGTAGAGCTGACCTTAATGGTGTAGATGGAGTAAAGCATTCAGGACCTACATTTGCTGATGTAGCTTGACTCGAAATGAGAAGAAATGGCAGCAAACATCCATCAATAATCGGAACTTGAAATGTATGAATTATGAATCTAGGAAAATTGGAAGTTATCAAAAATGAAATGGAAAGCATTATCCTAGGCATTAGTGAGCTGAAATGGACTGGTTTGGGCCATTTTGAATTAGACAGCCACATGATCTACTACTATGCCAGGAATGACAAATTGAAGAGGAATGGTGTGGCATTCATTGTCACAAAGAATATTTTAAGATCTATCCTGAAGTACAGTGCTGTCAGTGATAGGATAATATCCATATGCCTACAAATAAGACCAGTTAATACTACTATTATTCAAATTTATGCACCAACCATCAAAGCCAAAGATGAGGAAATTGAAGATTTTTAACAACTTCTGCAGTCTGAAAGTGATGAAACATGCAATCAAGATGTGTTGATTATCAATGGTGATTGGAATGCAAAAGTTGGAAACAAAGAAGAATCACCAGTAGTTGGAAAATATGGCCTTGGTGATAGAAATTACCCTGGAGATTGCATGATAGAAGTTGCAAGACCAATGAATTATTCATTGCAAATACCTTTTTTCAGCAACACAAATGGTGTCTCTATATGTGGACTTCACCAGATGGTGTACACAGGAATCACATTGACTACATCTGTGGCAAGAGGCCAAGGAGAAGTTCAATATCTTCAGCCAAACAAGGCCAGGAGCTAAATGTGGAACAGACCATCAACTACTCATGTGCAAGTTCAAGTTGAAGCTGAAAACAATTAAACAAGTCCACAAGAGCCAAAATATGACCTTGATTATAACCCTCCTGAATTTAGAGACCATGTAAAGAATAGATTTGACTCATTGAACATCAATACCTAAAAACCAGAGGAATTATGGGATGACATCAAGAACATCATCTACATGAAGAAAGCAAAAGGTCATTGAAAAAACAGGAAAGGAAGAAAAGATCAAAATGGATGTCAGAAGACTCTGAAACTTGCCCTTGAACAGAGAATAGCTAAAGCAAATGGAAGAAATGACAAGATAAAAGAGCTGAAAAGAATATTTCAAAGAGCAGCTCAAGAAGACAAAGTCAATTATTATAATGAAAGGTGAAAAGACCTGGAATTAGAAATCCAAAAGGGTAAGAACATGCTCCTTATTCTCAAGCTGAAAGATCTGAAGAAAAAATTTAAGCCTCAAGTTGCAATATTGAAGATTCTGTGGGCAAAATATTGAATGATACAGGAAACATCAAAGGAAGATGGAAGGAATGCACAGAGTCACTATACCAAAAAGAATTGGTTGATGCTCATCCATTTCAGGAGGTGGTTTATAATCAAGAACCAATGGTATTGAAGGGAGAAGTCAAAGTTGCACTGAAGGAATTGGAGAAAAACAAAGCTCCAGAAATTGATTGAATACCCATTGAGATGCTTCAACCAAAGGATCCCACACTGGAGGCAGTCACTCGTCTATGCAAAGACATTCGGGAAACTAAATGAATATTTAGTAAAAACAAAACAAAACCAAAAAAATGAATGAATGAAATAATGTCCCCTTCCAGAAGAAACAAGCAAGCTTTCTATTGCATCTAGACTCAAGAGGTAAGAAGTTGTTTAAAAGGTCCTACGGAATTCTCTCTACTGTATAAAGCATGACATCCCTCTCTAGAGATTGGCTCCTCTTGATAATATGTCCGGAGTAAGAAAGACAAAGTCTTGTCATCTCATTCCAAAGGAACATTTGGTCTGTACTTCCTCCAAGACTGCTCTTCTGGCAGTCCATGTCATAATCATTACTTTTTGTCAAACCATAAATCAAATACGTCAATTCTTTTTTGGTCTTCCTTTTTCATTGTCCAGCTTTTGCATGCATTAAGTATTTGAAATAACCATGGCTTGGGTCAGGCATTATTTAGTCATAAAAGTGACATATTTGCTTTTTCATATTTTAAAGAGGTCTTTTGCTGCAGATTTGACCAATGCAATACATTAGGACAAGAAATATTTGGCTATTTATTTTCCCTCTAATACGTAGGCATCTGCACTAACTCATCCTGAACAGTAAAGTATCATGGCTCATATAGATGTACCTGACTTACTTGTTTCCATAAAGGGTGAGGGAGGAGAGACAACACAGGGATGCCAGAGTAGCAGGCTGGAAGAGCAGGGAAGGGGATAAAAGCCTTGAGCCCCAGGCTTACAGGTGAGGAGAGACAACGCAGGTACGCCAGAGTAGCAGGCCAGAAGAGCAGGGAAGGGACGCCAGAGTAGCAGGCTGGAAGAGCAGGGAAGGGGATAAAAGCTGTTCTGCTGTGCATGTGGTCGCTATGAGTCGGAAACTACTTGACGGCACTTAACAACAACAACAACATAAAGGGTGAGTTCAAAAGGAGTAACAACATAATCTCACTACGGCCATGCAGAATAATCTTTTTAATATAAAAACCACATCATATTTCTCCCTTGTTTTCAATATACTTTCACTTTGAATTCTGTGGGAGAAAATACTGTTTGACACTAAGAAAGCTGTAAAGGTACTGAAGACCTAATTCTCATATGAGATTAATATAGGTCGATGTGTATATATGAATATCTATGTATAACTGGGGCTCTGGTGACATAGCACCTAAGGCATTTGACTGTTAACCAGAAGGTTGGAAGTTCAAACCCACCAGCCACTCCTTGGAAGGAAGATTCAGCAATCTACTTCCATAGTGATATCACTTCGGAAACCCAAGGAGGGGTCGCTATGAGTCAGATCTGACTCCACGGCAGTGAGTTTGTTTTTTTTTTAAAGTGTATAATTGTATACCTCAGTACACACATATATGTGTGTATTTTTTATTATATATATATATTATTATATATATTAATATATGGGAGCTATGGTGGCATAGTATGTAAGGCATTTGACTGCTAACCAGAAAGCTGGAGGTTCAAACCCACCAGCCACTCCTCAGAAGGAAAGTTAGGCAATCTACTTCTATACAGATACCACCTTGGAAACCCAAGGAAGGGTCACTATGAGTTAAATCAACTCAATGGCAGTGAGTTTTTTGTTTTTGTTTTTTTTTAAAAATATACTTACATATTTATAAAGAGAATTTATAATTCACATGTGTGCGCATATCATATTGCAGGTAAATAAAATCATAAAATATATAGCATATGTCTTCTGGAACTGAAGTTTTTAAAAATATATGCCAAAATATGGTGCTCTAGGAGGACATATTATAATACCGTATCCACTTTTTGTCAGTATAAACAGCATTACAATAAATATTCTATTTCATGTAGATTTCTTTATCGAAGCGTTGGATAGTTTGGATTGAATTTACCTTCAGGGTTGCTAGGTAGAATAATTTTTCTATGTTTTTAATATTACCAGATACTGCTTGAATCATTTCTAACAATAATGTAGCACTTTACAATTCACAAACACAATATTTGAAAATACTATATCCATATTTTTTTCCACAGCTAGATATTTCTCTTCTTTTTACTTTGTGTCAGTTTGACTGATGAATTAATGGTAATTATTCGAGCTTTTTAAATTTTCAATTCCTTGTTGGCATGGTTGAGCATGTTTTTATATGCTAATTTACATTTTGCATTTCCTCATGTATTAATTTACTAATGTTGTCTTTCTCCAGAGATCAGTCCCTTCTGACAATATGTCAAGTTACACGTCTTTGTCATATTATGTGTCGTTAGTCAATCTGATGGTGAAAAAAAACGCCATTTCATTGCTTCTCTTTCTATAATTTACATTTCCCTGAGTTTTCATACATAGCTCTGGTAGCATAGTGCCTAAGGCACTTGACTGCTCACCAGAAGGCTGGCGGTTCAAACCCACCAGCCACTCCTCGGAAGGAAGGTTGGGCAATCC